GAGGTGTGTGTGTGTGTGTGTGTGTGTGTGTGTGTGTGTGTGTGTGTGTGTGTGTGAACGTCCCCCTTCCCCCCCCCCCAGACTGGCCCACACTCTCTCACCCTAACATTTGTGGTGACGTCACTTAGTCTAAACAAAAGTCAAGTATGTTATGACCCCGCGTGACCTCTGGCCCCCTCCAACGCTCGCCACATTGTTCCCTCACACCACTTCTCTCGCGGCTCTGCTCTCCCCCCCCCTCCACACACACACCTGTGTCTGCCACTATCTCTGGTAACAGACAATTGTGTCTGATCAGACGCCTTGGAACCCCCACGCCAAGCTCCTTGGACCCCCACGCCAAGCTCCTTGGACCCCCACACTCGGAACAGCGGCGTCTAATAGCAGCTCATCTGGTAGTCATTGTGGGGGCGTCACTGGCACCGTGGATCACTGACCAGTCAAACTATTGGTGCAGGCAGCTCGCAGAACGACGTGAGGCACCCCCCAAGCTACCCTGGCAGATCAGGAATTTTCTCGATTAGTGCCAAGTTTCTTTTTTGAAGCAAGTTTCGAGTTGCAATGTTTCAAGTGTCAGCACGAGATCTAGAGCCGTGGTAAACATTTAAACCCCACTGTTACTGCTCTAGAACCTCTGGAACAGCTGGTAGAGCCCTAGACAAGTGGTACAGCTGGCTCTAGAACGACTGGTACAGCCCCTAGGATCACTAGTAGTTCTAGAACGACTGGTACAGCCCCTAGGATCACTAGTAGTTCTAGAACCACTGGCAGAGCTTAAGAACCACTGGAACAGTCCTAGAACCACTGATACAGCTTTAGATCAACTGGAACTGTTCAATAATCACCCAATTGCAGCTATAAACCCACTGGAACAGTTCTAGAACAATTTGTAGGGGCCCTAAAACCACTAGTAGAGTCCTAGAGCTGATGATACATCTCTAGAATGGCTGGTACAACTCTAGCACCACTGGAACAAGCCTAGAACCACACACACAGCTCATTCTTGGTATCTGAGGGTGCTGATTAAGAAGGCAGCGGCGGTCGACCACAGACACGCACAAGTACACGTATAAGTACAGACACGTACGTAGTACGTGACGACACAGAAAGGGGTGACGTCACAGTAAGGGGTGACGACACAGTAAGGGGGTGTTGATAAGGGGAGAGTGAGGTGAGATGCGGACCAGCGTCCAAGATGCAGCTATACACCCACCGGCAGCCTGGCGCTTGTGAAGTGGGAGAACTCTCCCCTCACACTCTCCCCTCATATACGCCTCTGGGAACTCTGATCCTACATGTAGGCGCTTGACCCAACGAGGTCTACAAGTGTCTCCTCCTAGCACTCTACACCCCGGGAATGTGTTCAGGACCGCGTGAGAGATTAACAGGTACAGGACATGTTTCCATGTAGCTGTAACCAAGAACTGGCCGCTAGTGACATCTTGAAGATCAGAATCGTCTTACGAAGCTGTAGCAATCTTGCATCCTGCTAATATGTACTTGGTGGATAATATCCAGTAATCGGTGTGCCTGTGGATATGACTCGCTTTATCCTTTCATAACGCGTCCACTACGTGTGTAGAATCTGGTGGATCGAGATTGGAGGCCAGATTCACGAAGCAGTTACGCAAGTACTTACGAACGTGTACATCTTTTTCTCAATCTTTGACGGCTTTGGTTACATTTATTAAACAGTTTACAAGCATGAAAACATCCCAATCAACTGTTGTTGTTGTTATAAACAGCCTCCTGGTGCTTCGGAGCTCATTAACTGTTTAATAATTGTAAACAAAGCCGCCAAAGATTGAGAAAAGATGGACAGGTTCGTAAGTGCTTGCGTAACTGCTTCGTGAATCTGGACCCAGGATTTATCAAGGATTTACGTGTCTACCTACGACACACCTGTTCATCTGTCCTCAATCATGGCGGATTAGTCTATGTTTATTCAACAAATTGTGAGTTTAGAAACTCCGAGTCGAGGTCTTTGTCGACGGAAGAGTATTGCTATAGTGCCAAGTGCCTCATGGCACTTGGGAGCCGGTCGGCCGAGCGGACAGCACGCTGGACTTGTGATCCTGTGGTCCTGGGTTCGATCCCAGGCGCCGGCGAGAAACATTGGGGAGAGTTTCTTTCACCCTATGCCCCTGTTACCTAACAGTAAAATAGGTACCTGGGTGTTAGTCAGCTGTCACGGGCTGCTTCCTGGGGGTGGAGGCCTGGTCGAGGACCGGCCGCGGGGACACTAAATCATCAAGATAACCTCAAGATAAGATAACATTTCCAGAGCTGTGGCTTAACCCACACTTACACTAAGCATCATCAAGATCCTCGAAGATCTCAAGATATGGCGCGCCACAGTGTGTTAACTGTTTCATAAATGTAAAGTTTGAGGAAATTACTGAGGAGAGATTCACGAATGGCAAAGGTTACGGTGTCTGTGTGGCGAGGTGTGGCCCCTGGTGTTTCCGCTACACCGGACTCACTAACACACACACCAAAATCAACAGCATGGTAGGAGGCCTGAGACTGGACGTGAGGTACGGTGACTGAGTCGCCCAAACCCCACACTCCCACAGTCTATACCGCCTCCCACCAACTGTGCACGGTACGTCACTACACCGAGCACAGGTTCACCGTTGTACGTCCTATACTTAAGCCGACCAAATCCAACCCAATCAGACCCGACCCAACACATGCCACCCCAACCTAACCTAACCTAACCCAACACATCCCACCCCAACGTAGCCTAACAAAATGATGAAATACAATCTTCTGTTTCCATAAATGGTATGCACAAACTGTGTGACGTCACTGTGACGTCATAACTATTCCGGGTCAGGTTTGGGATGGTAGTGTTGGGTGTCGGAAGTGTATTGTTAAATGCTGACACTTCCACCTCAGGGTATGTAAACACACGTCTCCATTATCATCCATAACATTACAGATATTTCCCAAACACATATCATATCTGGCCACTAAACTAAAATGACCCAAGGTGTAATTGGGGAGGGGGGGGCAACAGTCGTTAGCGGTAACTACCTCGTCTGACGTTTCCTGAGGCCTATGAAAATACAGGGCGTCAAGGTGACGGGCTTAAGTCAAGCCTAAGTCACTGGGGACCTCGCCAAAGACAAGTAACTGGTCGTGGGAATGGAGGCCCCGCTTCCTTCTCCTGTAAATTGATCTCTGTCAGCTAGTCCATTAATTTCTCGTTCCTTTCGTCCTGTCTTAAAGAGAATCCAGAGTCAACCAGGCGATTCTCATCGTGTATGTGATATAATGTATTCGTTCTAAATATATAAATTAGAATGTGTGTCCGAGGTTAAAGGGCTTGACAGAGGCCTTGGGCTAGCCTCACCAATTTTTTTTAAGTTATTGATGTTGGGTATGTGCCCATCATAGATGGTTCAGGGTTGTGATCAGTGAAGTGAGTGCCATTTGACGCGATACCAAAGTGGCCCCCCTACTACTAATTTTGGAATAGCGTGTTAACTGGACTCGGAATTATTAAATTTGCACACTATAATGTAAAACATTAGATAATGATGTCTGCAGAATTAACAAAAAATTATATCACATTTTTCCTGCTCCTGCTGCCGATGTCACTGTTTCTCTGGTGTTAATGTTGGAATCTTATCCACTTTCAAATCTGATATTCCGATGCCTGTACTTGCGTTCACCTTATCGTATCCTCCTGACCTCTTCTCTGCCAGTAGCCTCTTATACTACAGCCTGGTGGTGGTGGCGACGACGGGGGTGACCTTCCAGGTGTGACGCTGTGACCCTGGACGACTGACTGGCGGGTCACCTTCAGTAAACCAGGTTTTTATCCTTCACCAGGTCCTCACTCCACCCCCTTAACACTCTGGGGGCCTCCAGCCCACCCACTCCCCCACACGCGGGCCACACAGATCTTCACCACAGCGCCTTACATGAACTGAGAGTTCAACCGTGCCAGTGCCTCTGAAGAGAGGCAGTGATGGGCTCCAGTCTTCCCGCTCATGGCGCGGTCAGCGGGTGGACTGCTACGTGTTAGGATAAAAGTATTTGATGTTTGCATAAGTTGGGTCTGAAAACACGTTACGACTGGTGTAGCGGGCAAGCAAAGTTGTAGAAAGGTGGGGGGAGGCAGGGGGGAAGGGCAGAGGGGGGGGGGGGGTATGAGTCCTGAATGCAGGCAGGCAACCTGTCTTACTGATACGATGAATTTGTGCTTGCATGTTATGCTTAGCTTGCTCTCTTTTGCCAGACTTGTCAGACTGCTACGTATTTGTAAGATCTTTACAAATACGTGACTATGACAGCCCAGGCACTAACCCTCCATTAAAGTTCCCATCTCGCCGCTCCCACTCATCTATATATATATTGCTCAATTTATATTGCCTTCTCCCCTCCCCCCCCCCCCTCTTTACCACTCGCGTCCCAGAGTTGAACTTGACGGACAACCTCAGGTCTATTATAGATGTAAAAAAAGAAACCTGGAAAGCTGAGTATTCAACTTCCATCCACGTGAATAAGAATGTAAGAAAATTCACGCCAGAATCGTTGATGGCTACGCCCCGGGGCATTATAATAAACAAGGTCTGTGCTCCATGTTTAAGAATTTAATGTGATTATCAGAGACCCATATCTTGGTCTGCTGACGTACACTCTGATTCAAGGACTCAGGATCCTACAAGCAGAGACAAGACCCGCTCAGGATCCTACGAAGGGACAGGGACGAGGTACACCCAGGATCCTACGAGGGGACAGGGACGGTATACACCCAAGCTACTAGGAGACGACAGGGACGAGGTACACTCAGGATCCTACGAGGGGGCAGGGACGAGGTACACTCAGGGGTCCTACGAGGGGACAGGAACGAGGTACACTCAGGATCCTACGAAGGGACAGGGACGAGGTACACTCAGGGGTCCTACGAGGGGACAGGGAGACGGTGCGGGTAGCAGAGAAAGGCACGGTGGGGACGGATACACACACACCAGACACGCAATACTCACTTCCTTTACTATCGTCTCCTGGGGAAGGCGGCGGACTCTCCTTCAGGGGGTGATGGGGGCTTTCCATCGTCATCTGGCGAGGACTTGAGGCGGGCCGGGACCCACTGTCACACTCTCGGGTCAAGGGCCAACTCCACCTTGACCTCACTAGCAACTTACACACCTTAGCAGCGTCCCGGCTGATGGAGGAGATGATGGCGGAGGGCAGGCTTGTTGGAGGCGTCCAGGATGGGATGACTAGTTGAGCCGGTGTTGAGCTTGGCTCCAGCAGGCTACGACGCCATTACACCTGTAGGATACACACAACAATGTTAGGGAATTAGAGTACGTGGGAATGTTGAGTTCACAGTTTACCTTCCAGGTGTAGAAGAACACCCCCCCCCCTCGTCCCCACTCCCCACCACACTGTTTAGCCCCACTGTGGGAGGTACAGTCCCACACTGAGGTACTACGCCAAGTAGAAGTACCTCAGTACCTCAGCCTAAGTCATCTGAGACGGGTTGCTTACTCTAATACCCATAATATATACTATACGCTTCAACACCACGAAGAGATTGAGGTCGGAGTACGCAGGGTCTGAGTACGCAGGGTTGGAGTACGCAGGGTTGGAGTACGCAGGACCGGAGTACGCAGGGTCGGAGTACGCAGGGTTGGAGTACGCAGGACCGGAGTACGCAGGACCGGAGTACGCAGGACCGGAGTACGCAGGACCGGAGTACGCAGGGTTGGAGTACGCAGGACCGGAGTACGCAGGGTCGGAGTACGCAGGGTTGGAGTACGCAGGACCGGAGTACGCAGGGTCGGAGTACGCAGGGTCGGAGTACGCAGGGTTGGAGTACGCAGGACCGGAGTACGCAGGGTCGGAGTACGCAGGGTTGGAGTACGCAGGGTTGGAGTACGCAGGACCGGAGTACGCAGGGTCGGAGTACGCAGGGTTGGAGTACGCAGGACCGGAGTACGCAGGGTCGGAGTACGCAGGGTTGGAGTACGCAGGACCGGAGTACGCAGGGTCGGAGTACGCAGGGTTGGAGTACGCAGGACCGGAGTACGCAGGGTCGGAGTACGCAGGGTTGGAGTACGCAGGGTCGGAGTACGCAGGACCGGAGTACGCAGGACCGGAGTACGCAGGACCGGAGTACGCAGGACCGGAGTACGCAGGACCGGAGTACGCAGGGTCGGAGTACGCAGGACCGGAGTACGCAGGGTTGGAGTACGCAGGACCGGAGTACGCAGGACCGGAGTACGCAGGACCGGAGTACGCAGGACCGGAGTACGCAGGACCGGAGTACGCAGGGTCGGAGTACGCAGGGTTGGAGTACGCAGGACCGGAGTACGCAGGGTCGGAGTACGCAGGGTCGGAGTACGCAGGACCGGAGTACGCAGGACCGGAGTACGCAGGACCGGAGTACGCAGGACCGGAGTACGCAGGGTCGGAGTACGCAGGGTTGGAGTACGCAGGACCGGAGTACGCAGGGTCGGAGTACGCAGGGCCGGAGTACGCAGGGTCGGAGTACGCAGGACCGGAGTACGCAGGGTCGGAGTACGCAGGGTCGGAGTACGCAGGGTCGGAGTACGCAGGGTCGGAGTACGCAGGGTCGGAGTACGCAGGGTCGGAGTACGCAGGGTCGGAGTACGCAGGACCGGAGTACGCAGGACCGGAGTACGCAGGACCGGAGTACGCAGGACCGGAGTACGCAGGACCGGAGTACGCAGGACCGGAGTACGCAGGGTCGGAGTACGCAGGGTCGGAGTACGCAGGACCGGAGTACGCAGGGTCGGAGTACGCAGGGTCGGAGTACGCAGGGTCGGAGTACGCAGGGTCGGAGTACGCAGGACCGGAGTACGCAGGGTCGGAGTACGCAGGACCGGAGTACGCAGGGTCGGAGTACGCAGGACCGGAGTACGCAGGACCGGAGTACGCAGGACCGGAGTACGCAGGACCGGAGTACGCAGGACCGGAGTACGCAGGGTCGGAGTACGCAGGGTCGGAGTACGCAGGACCGGAGTACGCAGGACCGGAGTACGCAGGACCGGAGTACGCAGGGTCGGAGTACGCAGGACCGGAGTACGCAGGACCGGAGTACGCAGGGTCGGAGTACGCAGGACCGGAGTACGCAGGACCGGAGTACGCAGGACCGGAGTACGCAGGGTCGGAGTACGCAGGGTCGGAGTACGCAGGACCGGAGTACGCAGGACCGGAGTACGCAGGACCGGAGTACGCAGGGTCGGAGTACGCAGGACCGGAGTACGCAGGACCGGAGTACGCAGGACCGGAGTACGCAGGACGGAGTACGCAGGACCGGAGTACGCAGGACCGGAGTACGCAGGACCGGAGTACGCAGGGACGGAGTACGCAGGACCGGAAGGATTCTCTGCCACAGACGTGGCCAGATATTTACAATGCTAACCAGCATATATAAATTTTCTTCTGTCCTCCATGGACAGGGTGAGAGATCTGTTAAACATACAGTTCAGTGGACGGATTAAACAATCAACCACAGAAGGTGATTGTAGTACTTTTAAAATACTAATCTAACCAACACACATCAATACACAGACTTACGCCTGTCAACATAAACAGGTGTTTGAGATATCTTTTTCAGCGTCATTAATGTGCGTTTACAAAGGTGAAATGCAATTCTGAGCAGCTTACCCGTAGTGCAGTGATAAAGGGATGTGGAGGCTGGTACAAGGAACGGTGAACATGCGGGTGATGGAGGAGGGCCTGGAAGAGCGCGGTAGAAGAGCAGGATGAGAGAGAGAGAGAGAGAGAGAGAGAGAGAGAGGGAGAGAGAGGAGAGAGAGGGAGAGAGAGAGAGAAGGTGAAGGGGAAGAAGGTGCAGTGGAAGAGGAAGGAAGGAGTAGGAGGAGGAGACAGGAGACGTAACTAGGAGGTGGTAGTTACCTGCTCTTTCCTGTGACCACTTCCGCTCCGTGACAGACTGCCACCGGTCACGCTGGGGGGCAGGGGGGACAGGGGGGGGATGGGGGGGTGAGAGTAGTAACAGCTGAACAACACGAGCACCACAACCACCCACGGTGACAAACCACACACCGCCTCCTGAACAGAAGAACACCGCTCTGTTCTTCACCAAGCATCAGAGAGAGAGAGAGAGAGAGAGAGAGAACGCTCAGAGTTCTTAAGGGTCCTGACTGAAAGGTTGTATGACCATTAGAACAAGTGGGTAAGGGGGGAGGGAGGGGGTTAAGGGTCGCGGAGATGTTGTAAAAGTCTTGTCTTAGCGTCAGGGGTAAGATTTAGGGTAAGGGTAAGGGGTAGTTAGCGTAAGGAAGACGGGGAAAATGGATTAAATCAAAGAAGCAGGAGCCCAATTCCATTCGCAATTTTACAAATAGATTATCAGAAATTAAAAGTGGAGACTCGGTGCATTAGGTGCTCGGGTGACTGGAAAGGCGGGGGCCCAAGAATTGAAGCTTGATCTTGCAGATAGACGAGTGCACACGGACTACATTAAACGTCATAAATGTGGTGTATGAGGAGAGTGGAGTATAGAAGACCGGCGTCTTCCCAGGCATAACTAGAGGCTGGCAGATCATAAGACAAAATGTTAAAATAATCAAACACGTCGCCACAGTGTGTGTGTGTGGCGGGCACACCAGGTGTGTCCTTGGTAATGACACCCACATGGAGTAGGCTGGCTGGCTGGCTGGCTGGCTGGCTGGCTGGCTGGCTGTCTGGCTGGCTGGCTGGCTGGCTGGCTGGCTGGCTGGTGGTGGTTGGTTGGTTGGTTGGTTGGCTGGCTGGCTGGCTGGTTGGTTGGTTGGTTGGCTGGCTGGCTGGCTGGCTGGCTGGCTGGCTGGCAAACCGGCTGGCCGGCTGGCTGGCAAACCGGCTGGCCGGCTGGCTGGCAGGCCGGCTGGTTGGTTGGTTGGTTGGCTGGCTGGCAGGCAGGCTGGCTGGCTGGCTGGCTGGCTGGCTGGCTGGCTGGCTGGCTGGCTGGCTGGCTGGCTGGCAGGCCGGCTGGTTGGTTGGTTGGTTGGCTGGCTGGCAGGCCGGCTGGCCGGCTGGTTGGTTGGTTGGCTGGCTGGCAGGCCGGCTGGCCGGCTGGCTGGCAGACAGACAGGCAGGCAGACAGACAGACAGACAGACAGACAGGACAGACACATTATTACTGTGGCAACAGCAGCAGGCGTAGGCTGGGTTTTTCCCTCAGGAGTATTACTGTCACTGGCTGTGTTGGGGTAACTGCCTGTCTCGCTAACCAGTCTGTCTGTCTGTTTCCGTCTGTCACCACCACCCAGCGGGCCAGGGGTCACGCCCTCCACCCAGCGGGCTTCACCAGGACCTATAAAGAGTGCCAGACATGGACATGTACCAGCGAGGATGCGACAGATAGACGACCCGACATCAACAACCATTATTTACCCTGGAGCTTAGTTAATACGAAGACAGATAAGGACAGTAGTGCCTGGAGAGGGACAGGAGGAGGGGAAGGGACGGGGGGGGGGGGGGGAACCTGTCACCACCTCCACCAAGTGACCGCAAGCCGTCACCAGCCCGCGGGGAGCTGCCACACACACACACACACACTCCTCATAGATACCGGAGAACAAATGACCTGGTCGGTGTCCCTATCCTAATGTGTGGTGGGAGTCCCTCTCCTCTACCCTCCTGCAGCGCTCCCCTCCTAGTGGGTAGGGTGGCACCAGCCCCCACGCTGTGGGTGGGGGGGGGGGGGGGAGACAGGTGGCACCGCAGGGGGGTGGGAACAGGTGGCACTCCGGGGTGGCATCTTTCCTCCCTCCTCTTCCTAGGAGACTCGCCTCCCTTACTCAGAAACCATTGTCAGCCATGGCCGTCACTTTACATTAGGTCTACACACACACACACACACACACACACACACACACACACACACACACACACGCACGCATCCCCGGGAAGCAGCCCGTGACAGCTGACTAACTCCCAGGTACCTATTTACTGCTAGGTAACACGGGCATCAGGGCGAAAGAAACTCTGTCCCATTTATTTCTGCCATCACCGGGGATCGAATCCGGACCTTAGGATTACGAGTCCAGAACACTGTCCACTTAGCAACCAGGCCCCGTATAATTACCTGTGTGTGTGTGTGCGTGTGTGCGAGTACTCACCTAGTTGTGCTTATATAATAACGTGTGTGTGAGGGGGGAAATCCGTCGATTGATTGACAGTTGAGGTGGGTCCAAAGAGCCAGAGCTCAACTTCCGCAAAGCACAACTAGGTGAATACACACGCACGCACGCGCGCGCACACACACACACACACACACACACACACACACACACACACACACACACACACACACACACGAATATGCAGGGCAAGGAAAAGCCAAACCAAATACAAACACAATAATCGATGCCCCGGGGACCACGACTGGCACTTGTGGAGTATTGTTGGTCAGGTTGTGGTCGGGTGCCACACGCCTGGCGGGTGGGGGGTGCCACGTGGGTCAGCGAGGGGTGGACGGCCAGGTGCCACCCGTCCACCCTAAACCCTGTCTCTCAAACCCGGCCCCTTGGACACCCCCGCCTCCAGCCGCAGGGGGGCGGCACTTAGGGAGGAGCCGTGGCTGGCGTGACGGTGCCAAGTGACCACAAGGCCTCCCAGGCCTAATGACCAGGCCTAAGGGCTTGTGGTCCGGCCACACAAACAACAGCAGCAGATTATATATCCGGGAGCGGCCACAAGGTGATATATAATCATGGCTGCAACTACTCACAATTATATATATCCCAATATACATATATAACACACAACCCTGTACGTACACAATGAAATATAACCCGTGGACATAGTTTAGTAAGACTGGGATGCTACGCCTCCACAAGCCCATTAGGTGGTTGTAAACCTTGAAGTGGCTCAGAGTATCATTGTTCCAGTGGGTACCTTACCTTGAGGTGCTTCCGGGGCTTAGCGTCCCCGCGATGGTCCCCACCCTAGGCCTGGTCGTCGACCAGGCCTAGGGTGACCCCAATAATTACAATTATTACTTAACCTATTATAGGTATAGGTTAAGTAATAATTGTAATTACGAAGCAATAAGATGCTTATCTTAACATACTTCAAGGTAAGGTAAGGTCTGTGTTTTCTATGAAGCTTTTCAAGGTAAACTAAAATATTCACAATAAATTAGTATGTCAGATATGCACGTATTTAATAAGTCAATAATGACTATACGAAAGTGCGAGAACGGGTTGCCCCAAGCACCCCTGGAGTGGTGACCTCACCACGCAGGCCAGGGCCCCGCTGACCACACCACCAACAGCGCCGCACAAGACCAGCTACATTATGAAAATTTGATATCAATCGATTGCGTGACTTGCCAGGGAGCAGGTCATCGAGGGCCAATTTGGACTAGCCTGGCCAGGGGAGCAAACACCAGTAAGCACTGGCCAGGCAGCGCCCACTCCACCACTCACACACACGCACGCACACGCGCACGCGCACACACACACACACACACACACACACACACACACACACACACACACACACACAGTTTCAAGTGTAGATATGATAGAGCCCAATAGGCTCAGGAACCTATTCCTGAGCCTATTGGGCTCTATCATATCTACACTTGAAACTGTAGGTGTATGTGTGTGTGTGTGTGTGTGTCTACAGTTTCAACTGTAGATATGATAGAGCCTAAGAGGCTCAGGAACCTGTACACCAGTTGATTGACAGTTGAGAGGCGGGACCAAAGAGCCAGAGCTCAACCAACGTCATAAGGCTCACCACACCACCACTTGGGCAGCGACACAGAGAGCGTCGTACACCAAACAAAGACGACAGTGGACTCTAACAAGAGATGACGTGTGGCCGACGTGTACTTGTTCCTCTACCACGATCGATCATAGCCGCCACTAGCCTAAAAGCTCCACAACGTTTTGTGAGCGACAGTTGATGTCACGAGAGCTACTCAGCGAGGCAAAGGTAACATCAACTCATTGTTACTTAAGCGAGGACATGGTTTTGCATTGGAGTTAGCGAAGCATTATCTTAGGAGTATGTTTTAAGCTGTTCAAGTGTCTCTTGAAGCGAGGACTAGAAGGCGGTGATCCAGACTAATAGATCGAGGCCAGCCAAGTCAAGCCTGGCCTCGGGCTGGGCTTGTGGAGTAGAAGAACTCCCAGAACCCCATCAACCAGGTATCAACCAGGTAATGTGATTACTTGTCACCTGGCGAACCTGTCAACTTGCCCGCCCCCCCTTTTTTACTCTCCTTGGTTACACCCTCGTACACCCCCACCCGCGGCGGTACACACACGCTACTAACCCGCTACACCACGACCTGCAGCAATGTATCGATATGTGACACGTACACCGTTTGTCAGGGCTACAGGTCAGGTGTGCGTCCACAACCACACACTCACCACACTTGCACAGTACCACAGTCATCACCACCACCACCACCACCACAACCACGACAGTATAGCCTACCACCTCTCCCACACCACACAAGCACTGCCCCTGGTCACAAGCCCTTTATAATAACGCGGATGTTGTTGTTGTTGTTATAGATTCAGCTACTTGGAACAAGTTGCAAGTAGCACGGGCTATGGTGAGCCCGTAGTGGACTTACCTGGCACAGGAGCGGTGCAAGTAGCACGGGCTATGGTGAGCCCGTAGTGGACTTACCTGGCACAGGAGCGGGGCAAGTAGCACGGGCTATGGTGAGCCCGTAGTGGACTTACCTGGCACAGGAGCGGGGCAAGTAGCACGGGCTATGGTGAGCCCGTAGTGGACTTACCTGGCACAGGAGCGGGGCAAGTAGCACGGGCTATGGTGAGCCCGTAGTGGACTTACCTGGCACAGGAGCGGGGCAAGTAGCACGGGCTATGGTGAGCCCGTAGTGGACTTACCTGGCACAGGAGCGGGGCAAGTAGCACGGGCTATGGTGAGCCCGTAGTGGACTTACCTGGCACAGGAGCGGTGCTGTGTGTGATTAATGTGGAGACTTTACGTCAGTATACAGCAGCAGTAAAGTGAGAGCGTGAGCCAGGTGAGCCACCACCCTACACGCTAATTCCCTTTCCCACGAATGCCAAGTTATCACAAGTCTAGCCAGGGCCCCAGACCGAGCTCTGGGAGTAGAAGCACTCCCGGAACCCTCTCCAGTTATGCTGGAATGGAGGAAGGAAGAGTTGGTAGGGAGACTTCCAGAGGTAGGAGGAAAGATGCAGTGTTTCAGAAGTGTAGGATAAAGAAGAGTTGTCAGAGATGGACTGGTTTCTAGAGATCTGAAGATATGAGGGGTTTCCAGAGGTGAAGAGAGGCGATACCTCAAGAGGGTTTTGAGATTTCTGTTCCCGGAGCCCGGCTTGGAACCACACTCGACGGTACTAAGAAATTAAAAAAAAGTACCAACGATGAAACTTTTTCCATTTTTCAATCAAAGGGAAACATCAAACTGGAAATCATGGCATATGATTGTGGAAGAGTGCTGCCAAGGCGACGCTAGGAACAAGACCCTGGCGACAACCACGGCACAACGCTGCTCTCTCCTCCTCCTCCGCCAGAAGCCCCCAGGGCCAACACTGCCGGAGGGACGCGGCCTCCAGAAATCCCCATCACGCAAAGGTTGTGTGAGCGTCGCGTCACACTCTCAGCGGCGGATGGACAGTGGCAGGTATTTTCCAGTGAGGTAGGCAGGATAAGGAGAGACGGAAGCTTAGGCGACCCCACACGCACACTTTCCACCCAGGTAAGCGGAGTAAGGACGAGGAATGGGATAGGTGTTCCTTAAGGACGAGGAATGAGATAGGTGTTCCTTAAGGACGAGGAATGAGATAGGTGTTCCTTAGGGGGGTGACCTTGCTGTCGCCTGTCTCTCGTGTCCCATATCTGCTTCACCACCTCCCCCCCACCACCCCTTACCCTCGTCTGCGTTGTTGACATCCAGTACTTTATCAAGACAGGAGTGACGGTGATGTTTGCTGATGGTGAGTGACAGCGGCTGTGGCACTACCTCGTCGAGGCCTGGTCGACGACCGGGCCGCGGGGACGCTAAGCCCCGGAAGCACCTCAAGGTAAGGTAACCTCCACCTCTCCGTCACCTACAGTGCTGCTGTTCGTAATTTATGTGAACGACTCTACCAGATTGATGTCGTACATGTCATTATTTGCAGATAACATGTACGATATCACTCAATCTGTTTTTTTTTACATTCGACATCAAAGCTCACGAGGAATGTAAAAACAGACGACTGCAGGAAGTTACCGGAGGACCTTGACAAATTCTAGGAGTGGTCACACAAATGGTTGCTAGAATTCAGTCCCAATAAGTGTAAGGTAATGAAGATGGGACAGGGAGTGAGGAGACCAGGAGGTATCTAGATCATAAGGGGGAGGCAACTATAAGAATCAGAAATAGAGAAAGATTTGGAATTGGATATAGTTCCAACACTCACACTAGCGGCACACATGAACACGATAACATCAGCAGCATCTGGGACGCTGGAGAAAATAAGAACACCTTTTTGAGACCTAAATCAAGACT